ACCCCCAATTCAAATCCTGAATAGGCCCTAAGCTTAGACCTGTTATTTTGAACATCCATTAATATGATTATTATTGTTATCACTCATACGACTTCATATTGCAAGCAAAGCACATTGGTAACCACTTACACCACATGCTGGTTTTTCACTTTAATGGATATCAGATTCTACCGGGTCAAAATACTATATATAGTTTGGACATACAAAACAAAGATAACATTACACACCCATTACACAACATCATCATCATTTCGTCATGTTCATTTTAAGATGAAGGTCAGTTGGGTCTCGGATGAAAGTTCCCAGAATCACACACACAAGCACACACAAACACACACTTTCTCGTACTTCACACCCATACTCAGAATGTGGCATTTGGCATGTAGGGGTCAAGAAGGGGTTATGTACACACACACACACACACACACACACACACACACACACACACACACACACACACATAGCGTCAAAGAGAGGCAGCAATGTATTCTGGGAGGTGAGAGAAGTGGGAAGGAGATGAGAGGGACAGTAGTCATGGAGGGACACAAAGCACCAGACACAAAAACAGATGGATAAAATAAATAAACTCCTCCGGTAAAAACACTGTTATTCAGAGCAAAATACAAGAAGGATAACACCTGAGAATACAGTTGTTGCCATTGTTAAAGCACATGTAGACCTATTATTTTGATCATCTGTCAATATGATTATTATTGTTGTTGGTATAAGTGGCATGTAGAGTAAGACCGGCCTTAAAGTGACCCTGCCCTTCTGGCATCTGCCAAAGTCACTCAATGGCCAGTTCAGGCTTGTTCACAAGAAACAGTTTTGCACCTATCTGAAAAATAGCTGTCATGCTCGCAGGGTAGCAGTGAATTTAACTTTCATTTTGTGCCTCACACCCTTCCACTAAGAGGTGAAGTCTATGTTTCTTTACAGAACTGTACGGTACACTAAGAAGACTGATTTACATAAATAAAGAAAATAGAATATCACCCTCCCTTATCTTTTGAAAAGTAACCCATACTAGATCTTGTATGGAGGAAAAGCCTTACTGCATTGACTTCTACAGATTTAAAGGTATAAGTTAATAACTTTTTTCCCCCATTAAATACAATTAGCAAGTCAACACTAATCACCCTTATGACCATATAATGGCGTGGCAGACCAATATAGGAAGAAGTGCTACATCTTGCAAGCAAAGCACATTGAATGGTAACCACTTTCACCAGATGCTATTCTTTCAGGCTGCTTAATTTGATTGATTATGAGAAAGACCTTCAAAGCTGTTGTACACAGACAAATATTACAGGGAAGTGGTGTCATTTTATTTTTAAAGCACCATTTAACCACTATGGAGCTACCCTCTTCTGAGAGTGTGACCATTTAGCTGTCTTTGAAACATGACTGTGATGCTTAGAAAGGTTGTGTGACTCCCATTAATTCTGTGTCAGAGCTGCACACCCTGTTGCTGTGGTCTATACATAGAGAGTGACTTAGAGGTGTAAAGCCTTCACACCATAGAAATAGATTCATCGTGGTAGGTTCACACAGACACAGCATAAATCCAATTTTGGCAAATTACACGCTTTCCTTTGGGCTTGAAGCTGTGCTGAGAGCGGTATGTCGGGATATTGAGAAGATGTCATCAACTCAGAAACTCACTCAAAATCAAGCAGTCCAAATATAAATCTAGCGTCAAACTGTATTTAAAGTCCTGTGTGACTTTTACAAAGGTGCTATCTCATAGCAGATTATATAAAGCCAGGTCATATCCCAAAATGACTTAAAGGGCAAATCCAGATAGTTTAGATCAAGTTCATTTTTATTCACTAAAATCTCTTCTGGACAAAACATGGGATTCACCAAGTACTAAAAGACATTCAAGGTGCACCACAAGTACTAGTTCATGGCACAAAATAAGCACACTATAAAAAGGTTTAAATTGGTTTGTTAAATGATACTAAGGATCATCACGAATTGTCAAGATTTCTAGGTATGAAAACTGGAATATGGGAATTTTCAGCCATTTAAACAATAACTAAATAAAAAATAATGAATCTTAATAAATCATTCAGTCCAAAAGGAAAGAAAAACACCAGCATCATTGCACTTGAAAGTCTTGATCTTGGAAACAGCAGTCGTCATTTAACAACATCACCACATGGTCCACTCCATTCTGGAGCTTTTAATCGTATCACTTGATCTTCCTCAGCAGATAGAGACTGCCCACTTTAAAGACTTCTCATCCATGTTAGCTTAAGTTTGATAATGGAAGCTCTTTCTTCCCCTTGAAAACGACAAAACAACAGGGAAACTCCAGCTCTTGAGGAAGACTGTGTGACACAATCGAAAGCTTCAGAGCAGCTACTGAGAGGACCCTGTGCTGAAAAAGACATCACATGTGATTCCAACAAGCTTAAAGGCTGGCTGCAGTATTTGCTAGTTAGTCATCTGAATGAGCCATATGTATCAACTGAGGCTATAAATTACCAGTGGAGGTTTCAGATTGTAAGGAAAACCACATCTAATTATATAGCTAGTATTCTAAAGGAGAATATCCATTTCATAATTCTTTTCACAACCACACCGCTACACCTGCTGCATCTTAAACCGTAAGTACAGTAGCAGCCAGCCATCTGTCTGGTTAAAACAACATGGCAAAGACATGTGAGATGCAAAATGTAGTGATGTTAGCATCAATCATATGAATACAAACCGCTAGCTGCTGTTATGAACATACAGGATGTGAATTGTGCTGACAAAGCAGTTACTTAAACATCTACACACATGCACATGCTTGCACTCGTTTCTGCTTTTCTAGGGATAACCACATTTCTCCCTTCACATCTGTCAACTTATGATTACGCCGTTGAAATGAAATGGAAGTGAAAATGAAATAGTTGTGGCAAAGCCTTGGCATCTGTGAATGTAAACATTTACATTCTGAGCCACATGATTGATTGTCACTGCCTTAGTGGCTGATAAATGTGCTATATGTTATCAGCTTATCTGATGTTACAGGTGTTGCCAACAGTCATTGTGGTCTTCATCGTCATGTTGTTACTTTAATTCTTGCAAATTGCTACTAAAATATAGACCAGTGCTCTGCTTCAGCTTCTGTAACAGCTTACTGTGGTTAAAGTGACCACTTGTCCCCAACATTACAGATATAGGGCACATTGCACAATGTTTTTACAAATGGTAGTATTGTTCAAGGTCTCACTGATATGCAAGTGTGACTCGTCAAAACATGAGAGTTATTGTGTGTGTGTGTATGTGTGTGTGTGTGTGTGTGTGTGTGTGTGTGTGAGAGAGAGAGATAATTCCAGTATAAACTGTGTTCAGTTACATGAAAGTACAGAACCAGCATTCATGAGTGAAAGATTTGGAGGTGGTTAGCAAGCAGGTAAACAACCTTATTTTTCCTGTTACACACAACTGCTGCAACTGTCATCCTGTTGACAGAGACTTGCCTGGGTCCACTCCCCCGAGCTGGTCTAACACCATGACATCAAACAGTGGTTTCTCGGTTAAAAGGGACTAACAGTTAGCTGATCAGCACCACAGGTGGGACTAATGCCGTTGTCAAGCTGTTGTAAAGCTGTGTGCCAGTCAGTTAAGATTATACCAATGTTAACAATGTTTTGTGATCATTGATTTACAGCAAGCAAATGGTTCTCTAAATAATCCATTCAAAATTGCTGCAACAGCAACAAATAATCTAACTCACTCAGGTCATACAGCACTTCTTGCATGCACACACACAAAAAGCAGGTAAAAATTAGAAAATATAAGATACATAATTTTCACAAAATATAAAAAAGTTCATTTAGGTGGGGAAACCCATTAGTTACTAAGGTCACTTCCTGAAGAAATTATTTAATTTTGCAAAGTGATTTGAAATGAACAACATTTGAAAAAGCAACACTTAAAAGTACTGAGATTATGCATATTAAGTGTGGATGACCCTGAAGCCCACTCAGCTCCTGTGTGCCTTTTCTGCCACATCTGTCACTGTCTCTTTCTCACACACACACACACACACACACACACACACACACACACACACACACAGACATGTAGAGAGAGAGAGAGTCTTGAGTAATAGCACTTTGTTCACTGGAAACTGTGTAGCTAAATATACCAGTAACTGATAGCCCTGCTGGTTGATACCACCAGAGGAACCTAACAGGCAGGAATACTGCTGGCCCTAACACTGATACTGAAGATGAATTGCAACAGACACCAGTTTGTGTTTGTGTGTGTGTGCGTGGTGGGGTGTCAGTAGAGTTAAGAAGTCTGTCTGCATACCCATAACTGTAGTGAATTATGACTCACAGGCTTATTTGACAGAACTGAACTCTAATAACCGAAATGTTTGATACTTTAAAAATTACAAAACATGCCTTACAATGTATATGCTAAAGAAAGAAAAGAAAGCTATTTTTAAAAGGGTCTTATGATTAAATATCTGGTGCGCTAACCTATCTCAACCCCCTCCTCTTGGCATTGGTGAGTACCTGCTCTGTTGACTCGCTGCTGCATTAGAGAACTTTATTAGCCTTTGCACCCAGGCCCTAATTGATATTTGATGGATGTTGCCATCGTAACTTGGTCTTAGAATAGAGTACGGGCACTCAGCTGAACCCAGTGAGCCACACAGCAACCCTCTGATCCTCAGCTCTCACATACGCAGGACATACCACAGCTTTGCGGCAAAATTTAGGACAGGAGCAGAGATTCAGAGTCACAGATTGACCAGAACTGAGAGAAAGGGAGATGAAGGAGTGAAGGGAAGAGGGGTCGAAAAAGAGGGGGAACCAGAAAAGAAGTAGACAGACAGAAAAATGCACCTATACTCCTACTATTCACATTTTTCTTTCCTTGTGTTTCTTCCCTTGTTTTCTTTCTTTCTATTTCCTCTCTGTCTTTAACTGTCTCTATCTCTCTCTCTCTTTTCCCACACAATTTTCTCTGTCTTTTTTGGGTGCACTAACCTGCAGAGGGCCGCTGGCTGGCATGGTGGATCTCAGCGATGTCAGGTCGATGTCTCGGCCCTGCTCCCCTCTCTCTGTTTTCCCGAGTCCCTGCATAATAAGACCCGTAGCAAGCAAGCAACCAAGAACACACACACACTCGTGCACTTGAGTGTTGCCCCCACGGCAGTGAAAATGCTAATGCAAGGATGGCAGTGGTCGTAATGAAAAGAAATGATCCTGGACGCCAGGCACCAAGCACCAGGCAAGGCCAGGGAGGACAGCGCAGAGACAAACAAACAGCTTATTCACTCCATCCGCGTCTCCCCCGCTCCCTCTGTCTCACATTGCACTCTTTCAGCCTTCTGTCTCCCTCCATTCTACCCCCTGCATCAAATCTAGGTTGTAAAAATAGGCTGGAATACCAAATGAACCATCATGCTGAAAACCAGGCAAATATTGTCAGAGTGTTCGACTAGTACCATATTTAAAGTTAGTCTTGTCCCTCTCTATGGCTCTTATTTGAGTTACCAAGTACTGCAAACCAATGAACACAAAGTTGTGTCTATTTGTGCGTGTTTGCTCAACAAAAACATTCTGCTGTATTTCTCTTACGTTTTCTGAGGTCACACGTCTTCTCATGAAAGCACTGAGGCTCCACTGTAAGGAGTTTACGGCTCTGGGGTCCCCAGGCTCTGTAACAGGGACCCAAACATACCATGCGCAAAGGAGAGAGGCCAAGTGACACCAGCAGTTTAAGAGACGGATATCTCAAAACCTGGACGAATAAAATCAAAACTGCCGGCATAGCTGCCCACCACCCGAGGTAAGTCAAATATATGTTTTATAATTTGCAAAGAAGAGTTAAAGTCAGTAAAGTGGTTATTTCCAGGAATACAGAAGTATCTATTTGTGATTACAGTGACTGGTCAAACCAGACTAAGTAAGGCTGGTGTTTTGAATTGAGCAAGGGTACGTTTTATAGCTTGTGAACTTAACTTTTTATTTGAAAGAGGAAGAATGTGTTATCGCTTCTTTCAAAAGCTTTACTATTATAGAGGCTTAGACCAATGTAAGTTACATTTAACAGCAGTATTTAAAATGTAGAAGAACATAAACATAGAGGACCCAATAGCCTTCCCTGTGAGACTAGAAAAAAAAAAAGTTTTAAAATGAAAAGGAAGGTTTATTAGATCATAAGGCTGAAAGGTCTTTTGTGAAACCGAGGAGACACTGGAATGTGTGCAGTTGACTTTGGGGAGAGAGAGAGAGAGAGAAAAAAAAGGCTCGCAGTGGACACACAAGGATAACACACCACAAACAAATACACAACTGAAACACTGAATTATTTTCTCGGGCGTCTCTCTCATACACACAACACACACATCAGACCAACAGCACCTGACGAGAAACATACGTGAAAGACAAGAGAATAAAGCTTGTCTCTTCTTCTCGCTCTCTCTCTGTCTTGTTCAAACCCACACACACATATACACTGTGTCCTGAGGGGACTGGTGGTTGTCAACAGTGATTAAACACACTGCTGCAAGCTCATAATCCTCAAAAGAATGATCACCTCAATAGCAGGAATTGCATTAGGTTAAGTGTACCTGAACAGAACATCACACAAACCACACGTACAGCAAACCACTTTGTGAAGAAAAGTGGGGCTCTTTGGTTTAAGAAAAGGAGTGGTTTCCATATTGGGCCAACAGGTAACTTGGTGTATTATTTTTCTTTTCAATCACTTCTAAAAACTTTGATGTTTTTGGTACTATAAGTGCTATATGGCTCTCCTACCCCACATCTATCCCACTTAATGCTAATGCATCCAGGCGTGCGGCCTTCTGTAATCATTAACTGTTGACAGAGCTGATGTACTGTAATTCATTTCCTGAGATAAGTATTGTATAGCTTAATATCCATCAGTCCTGATCTGTTCCAGTCCTGAGCACTCTCCACTTTAATATGAAAATAAAAATAGTAGCAAACAGCTAATAAACTAATAACTAACACAACAAATAAACCTACCAACATAAACTGTTAACACCTCTAATACAACATCTATAGTAAGCACAAGCACAAATGTACAGAAGAACATACCTTGTGTGTGTGTGTGTGTGTGTGTGTGTGTGTGTGTGTGTGTGTGTGTTGGCCTTTATTTAGGACACAGCTTAAGGGACTGAGCTGTAGTCAATTTTCTCTACAATAATAGATAATGTGTTTGCTCTCTTCAGGGCAAATAAGCTGAAGCATCTGCCCTTTCACTTTTTTTTTCTTCATACATTTGCATTAACAAGCTTCCAGGAACTGTGCTAATGTCAGCTGACACTGCCCAAGAAGTTATTTGGGTTTTGAGGTTTTCCAGAATTACACTTCTGCCGTCCTTCAGGGATTTTGGGTTGTATAGAATCTATTCAGTGGCACATAATGGACTATTTGACTCGTGCGTGGATAGTTGGACTATTTGAGCAGCAGATTCCAAGTTAATCCCTAAATGAGAGGTTAAAAACAAACCATTCTGCCCACATTTCTTTTCCTTTAATCATTCCTAGAAACTGACATCAGACACCATTTATTCAGCCAAACCTCCTCATTCTTTGGTTCCTAAAAAAACAGAAAGTCTTTAGAAGACATCTAGCTTTCCCAGTTCTCAAGAAAAAATAAGTGTAGATAAAATAGTTTCCTGATATATATAGTAAACATCTTTACTCCCTGTCCTGGTTTACAGAGACTAACATTATGATGTTTGTGACAGACAGCCACCTAAATGTGCAATCCTATTTAAAAAATGGTTGCTTTGGTTTGTACACGTCTGTAAACACAGTGAAGATGAACAAGTACTTCAGGGCATGCTTGCCTGGTTTGTGCAGGTTTCTATGTGTATATTTACAGTAAATGTGAAAGCCAAAAGTAAAGCTGTAAAATCTAATACCTGTAATTTTGTTTAATCGTCAACAACATTTTGCATTCAGGGGTTTTGTGCCACTTCTGCTCTTGATGTAGTGAGAAGGTATTGCGAAACACAAAACCTGCTACACAGGCTTTGTGTTTACAGTGTCTTTTCTCCGGAAATGGAAATAATTTTTATTTGTGAAAATTAATAGTTATTAATAGCATACTTTCCATGAAAGCACATTTCAGATGTGATTAGCCTGAGGTCATTTGAATCCATTTTTAAAAATGACTCATGCTAGTTTATAAAAGTAACACATTACATGTCACATGAAGCTCTTGGGATAAGGTCAGTGAACTAACGGGGTTTATGTCGTACGTATGACGTGTGTACTTCCAGGTGCAAATGCATGGCCTTGTTCTCAATGAAAATCCTCATGTGCTGTTTTAATTTTACTTACACAACAATTGCAGGCATGACACTAGTAATGTGGTGTTAATGAGGTGAAGTTACAAGTTGTCTCATAAGAACTCTGGGAAAGGCTCTCGCAGGGGCAAAACTCTGAAGTTTAAAAGTGTAGAAATGGAATAAACAATATTTAACTGCTCTACTGTATGTGAAGATTCCAAGTCATAGTAGGTACCCAAGGAAGGTTAAAATCAAGGGCAACTGGACTTGGTTGAAGATACTTGAAGACGTTTCGCCTCTCATTCGAGGGGCTTTGTCTGCTCTGACTGACAGGTAGGGAATCCCAGCCGTTTAACGTCTGTGGGGTTGTTGTCAAGGTGATCGATACCGCTTGGTTCGTTAGTCCTCCTGGCTGTTGTAACAACAATCGTGGATGTTGGAGTCACTTGAGGCCAAGTCTGAATGACCATCGTCGGCACTGTCACATCAGCATTGTCACAGGCCAAATGTGAGTGTTTGTTCACTCTCCTGGGAAGAGATTAAGGGACAGCCTCCCCCATTCAGCGATGGTCTCTTTATTCTGGTGTAAATGGCCTGTTTCACTCTTCTTTTTGAGCCATCTGTCCTCCCAGTCCAAAATATGTACATGGTTGTCATTGAAAGCATGTCCCTTGTCCTTCAAATGTAGATAAACTGCAGAGTCTTAGCCTGATGAGTTGGCCCTTTTGTGTTAAGCCTTGCATTTGTGTAATGGTTGTTTTCGTTTCCCCAGCATGTCAGGCTACTAGCTTACTACCTATAGCGGTAATTGACCATTATTTCCAAGCGCAAAAAGCACATCATTAACTAGCATTAGTTTGTTGGCTTATACGGTTATATTTAAACTAAGCACGTTCCCAAAAAACACATTCACGATGTAGTATTTTCTGACTGTGGAAACCTGTCCTGGGTGCCATCAGAGTGTAATCTGTCCTCCTCTTTAATGTCCTCTAAAAAGTTCACACTCCAGCAACACCAGCCACTTTCATTATCTGAGATAGTGTTATGTCTACAAATACAACAGTTATTTCTCATCATAAAAGCTTTACCTCTTCTAACGTTAAAAGTAAAAACATCCTGTTTGAAAATGCAAACAAGTAAGTTGAGCAGCCACAGGTTAGAACAAAATAGTATGACATTACATTTTTCCTTATTATAATTACAATACTAGTGCTCTACTCTGAAATACAAAAACAGTAGTGTTTCTTTATTTCCATGTCTTCTCCAGGGAGCATTTTCATAATGCAGTTAGCCATCGTATTGTCACCACTCATGTAGTTAATGTTAGCACAATTTGGTAGCTAGCTCCAGCTAATGAAATCTTTGTCATTTCTGAAATTAAAAAAAACAAACAAAAAAACAAAAATTAAGTATTATGAGTGGTAAATCTGCCACCTTTATCATTGTAAACTGCATGTGTGCTGTGTGAAAATGCAAAGGGGGGAAGTTCGGGGGGGGGGTTGATCTTGAGAGGACAAATCAACTGTGGTGACACGTGACACTTTGTGTAATGATACTGACAGGGACATATACAATCCTCTTTGTGGAGCTATTAATCTTTGTCTCATTCATTTGTACTCACATTCTCTCTCTCTCTCTCTCTCACACACACAAACACAAAGATAGGGTTTCAACAGTTGAGTACCAGGCTGCGCTGACCTCTCGCTACCTCTGTCGACACACATGCACTTACAAACACCAAGCAGACAGTGCCAGTCTCTCATTCTGGCGATGATAAAAGGGGCCTTTATGCTTTAGATGTTCATCATAGTGATGCAAGCACACACTTACACACACACACACACACACACACACACACACACACACACACAATTTCAAAGTTAATATAGCAACTTTGCAAATCCAAGCATCTGATACTGGCTGATAACAGTATACCTTATCAGACCAAACACCCACGTGCCTGCACACACACACTAGCAGATATGTAAACACATATGATCATGCCCACATTCACCTGCAAACATATACACTGCAAACACAAGTGAAGGAGCAGGGTACCTTGGGATGAGGGTGTA